TTTTCTTTCTTTTTCTTTCTTTTTCTTTCTTTTTCTTTCTTTTTCTTCCTTCCTTCCTTCCTTCCTTCCCTTTCCTTTCCTTTCCTTTCCTTTCCTTTCTTTCTATTCTATATCTCTTTCTATCTATTCTACCTCTCTTTATCTATCTATTCTAGCTGTCTATCCTCTCTCTCTCTCTATTCTATCTCTCTTTATCTATTCTACCTCTCTCTTTATCTATTCCAGGGGTCTTCAAACTTGACAGCTTTAAAACTTGTTGACTTCAACTCCTAGAATTCCTACTCCAGTCATGTTCCACTCAGGAATTCTGGGAGTTGAAGTCCAAAAGTCTTAAACTTGCCAAGTTTGAAGACCCTTGCTTTACCGGGTCCCCCAGAGGAGCCTTCTGCTTCAGGAGGTGCCTCACGCGTTCCTCGACTTCCTCATTTCCTCCCTCGATAGCATCACTTCCAAAGGAACAAGGATGCACCTACAACCACAAGCAATCCATTGGGACGCCCATCCCAAGTCCCACCACTCCACGGATTCTCCCCTGCCCGGCCCACAAGCTGAGACCAGTTCCACCCATTTCCTGCACTCACCTGATAATAATAATCATCCCGCTTGGGATTTTCACTTTGCAGCTGTAACATCTGTACCTTTATCACCCAATCTTTTTCAACTGGAGTCATGAGGCCGGAGAAAGGATCCGCTTCGGATGGCTGGGAGTCCACGGAGGGACGTCTTGGAGGCAAGCAGGAACACGATCTATAAGATACGTTTTGAAATTCCCCTGGTCCAAGAAGTCAACTTCAGCCAAGAAATATATCCTCATTTTACCTTTAACTCTCTGGGGGAAGATTTTGAAAGCGCTCTTGAATCATCTGGATTCACACAAGCCATGAATGGAAGGTCAGTAGCCAACTTGAGTCCAAATTTTATTTTGAAGGCCTTACCTTAAATCTGGGATTTGTTCCACCAGATGGGATTTAGCGCGTGGAACAAGTACACTAAGCCACACAACCCTTCATGTATAAGGCACTGAAACAAGGATAGGGAATCTGGGGACAACCCAACGGTAAGGTTATCTCATGCTCAATAATTCAGCCCTGGTTAGAGGTGGTATTCAGCAGGTTCTGACCGGTTCTGGAGAACCGGTGGCGGATATTTTGAGTCATTGGGAGAACCGGCAAATACTACCTCTGACTAGCCCTGCCAACCCCATCTCTTCTCTGCTTCCCATTGAGTCCCAGCTGATCGGCTGGGTCTTCTTTGGTTGCACAGGAGAACAGAGCTGGAAAGCAGGTTAGTGGGGTGGGGAGGGAAGGGGGATTTTGCAGTATCCTTCCCCCGTCATGCCCACCAAGCCACGCCCACAGAACCGGTAGTAAAAAAAAAATCGAATCCCACAACTGGCCCTGGTGGGAAAACATTTGGGAAAAAGCATTTCAAGGAGATTTCCCCATTAAAAAAAAACCCCTCAGGATAAATGAAGCTGCAAATCAGTGGTGTGCTTGAAACATTTTTACCACCCGTTTGGTGGAGGGGGGGGGGCCTCGGTGGGCACGCTTTGCAGGTGCACGCACACTTTGCACATGTGTGTGCACCAAACGTGCACTTTGTGCAGGCGCAGAGGCTTTCCGACTTGCCTCCTGCCATCCTGCACTCTCCCCTGTCACTTCGGCAGCTGCCATGTGGCACTCGGCTGTGCCGTGCAAAGCAGCTGCACTTCAAAAGCAATGAATAAAGGTGAGTAGGGAAGCCCAGGTGGGCAGGTGGGCGGGCCCAACAGCAGAGCCTCGGAGAGAAGTGGTTCTGTCTCCACTGCTCTTCGGCACTACCGGCTCGGCTGAACCAGTCCAAACCGGTAGAATACCCCCACTGCTGCAAATTCATATTACCCTTGGCAAGATTTTAGTATTTAGGCCCGAGTAGCATTCATGATATTTGACTGAAATATGAAACTAGCTACCTGGAGATGGCTCTGATGCTGGGAAAGGTGGAAGGAGGAGAAGAGGACAACCAGTGAGCAGACTCACTTATAGCAATGGCGGTGTACCATTGTAACCCTCTGAAGGACCAGATTGTCATGGAGAAAGTCGACCTGGTTGACTTGACCACACACAACCACCATTGCAATCTGTATAATTGTTATTTCGATACATGGAATATCACGACTCGAGTCAACCACCGTGGCTTTGTTCCCCCTTTCTATTTTCCCTGCCCCATTACCTCGCTTCTTGTCCTCGCAGTCTTTGGGTCAGAAATCGCTGGTGCAAAGGATGCAACTGGGTCATTGTGCTGGGCAAGCTAGGAAAATGGAAGACAAACGAGAGCAGTGAATGCCAACTCTCTTCGGGGTGGGGGGTGGGGGGGGGAACCAAAGAGTTGTCTGAATCCCCGTTTACCTGAACTTCTGTTGGCTGCCACCCGGTGGGCTGAAAGGTGGTGTTTTAGGGGTGTGGGTCGAAGCCCACGTTGGGCTGCTGGCATTGGAAAAGAACGGTTGAAATGGAGGTGGAGAAGCATATCCTGACATCTGAAGAGAAGACACACTGAGGGTTAGATCCTAACCGCTTTGGTCGTTCTGTTCTTCAACCATAACAATACAAGAGCACACAATAGATACAAACTCAAGGTAAACTGCACCAACTCAATTATAGGAAATACGACTTCAGCAACAGAATGGTCAATGCCTGGAACACCCTACCTGACTCTGTGTTTTTTTCCACCAAAATCCCCAAAACTTTAACCTTAGGCTGTCTACTGTTCACCTCACCCCATTCCTAAGAGATCTGTAAGGGGCATAAGAGCACCAATGTGCCTACCGTCCCTGTTCTAATGTTCCCTTTTATTCTTACCCATTTCATGTATTAATATTCATGTTTATACCTGTATCTGTTATCTAATACAGTGGTCGCCAACCAATGGCCGAGGACCACTGGTGGTCCGTGAGAAAATTTTGGTGGTCCGCAGAGAAATGTCAAAGCATCCCCCAAAGCAATTAATCCAGGCTGCGCGGGAACACAAAGGCTACGCCGCCCACATGGCCCATGGGAACACAAGGCTTGCGTCACTTGCATTGCCAAGAAGAGGTAGTGAGGGGAGGGGGGAAAGGATGGAGGGGGGGGGAACTTGCCCCTCTCATCCCATGTGCCTTGCCTGGCCACCGGGCTGCTTCTTTCCGCTTCTTTCTTCTTCTGCTTTTGGCTGCACGCAAGGAAAGCAGCCAAAGTCTTTCTTTCTCTTCCCCAAACTCCACCAGAAATGAGTCTTTGGGACCCTGCAAGTCCTCCTGCTCCAAGAGGCTGTGATGGCAAAGACTCATTTCTGGCAGAGTTTGGGGGAGAGAAAGAAAGACTTCTGCTGCTTCTGCTGCTTTCCTTGCATGAAGCCAAAAGTCTCTCTCTCTCTTCCCCCCCCCCCCCCCCCCCCCCCCCGAGAACGGAGCTGGAGATGGTATCTTGCGATCCCAAAGAATGATTGACCTGTAGGAAAATGGGATGGGGAATTTTCCTGCAGACTTTTTTTGGGGATTCTCCCAGGGTGTCTGCTGCAAATTGTGAGTTTGGTGGTCCCTGAGGTCCAAAAGATTGGCCACCCCTGATTTCTAACACATGCTCAACAAATAACATAAATAAATAACTTTTAAAAAAATAAGGTGCAAGATCAGAGTGAGTGTTCAGCAGTCCGAAATCTCTTTAAAGGATTTTGAGAAGGAATCACCTCTTGTATACTCTCGCTTAACAAAGAAGACCTGGTTAAGGACACCTTGGCTGCTTCTCCAAACCAGAGTAACAGAAACCCCTTCCAGCAGAGTACAGGTACAGCTCTTTGTACAACTCTTATAGCTTATAAATTTTGGCCACCCTACTACAAAAAAAGATGTTGAGACCTTGGAAAAAGTTCAGAGAAGAGCAACTAAGAGGATCAAAGGCCTGGAGACTAAACCATAGGAAGAACAGCTGCAGGATTTTGTTGTGGTTAGCCAGCAGCAGGTGCAGATGGCTGAGGAGAGCGAGGACTCAGATGAGGGGCCAGGACCATCAGGGAGTGCACTGCTGTCTTCAGAGATTGTGGGGGCTGGCAGCAGTAATGAGGAGGTTCCCGAGGAGCCTGTGCTAAGTGTGTGTGCACAAAGGATTGCTTGGAGGAAAGAACAGTTACAACAGCATGGGCGACTCGGGAGTAAGGCTGCAAGGTAATGGCCCCTCCCTCAAGAGGATAAAAGCCAGGTTTGAAAAAGCGTTCTTTGCAGAAAGCAAAGAAGGTCTGAAGTTCAACTTGTGGACTGCTTAGTTCATGTTTGGATAATCTTGTAAATTAGTTCTTATCTCTGGGTTTTTGGCAGCCTTGACAAACAAATTGGCAAGGCTCTTTTTTGTCAGAGCTAATTAGTGGAAAGGAACAGAATTAGTTATTAAACCTTAAAAGGTGGGGGCTGCTCCCTTTGTCTGTGTTTGCTCTTTGGGAACCTGGTTGGGTCAGAACAGATTTGGGTTTGGCTAGTCTAAAGAAAATAAGAATTAGGGGTGACATGAGAGCAGTATTCCAGTATTTGAGGGGCTGCCACAAAGAAGAGGGGGTCAAATTTTCTCCAAAGCACCAGAGGGCTGGACAAGAATGGAAACTAATCAAAGACAGAAGCAACCTGGAACTAAGGAGGAACTTCCTAACAGTGAGGACAATAAACCAGTGGAACAGCTTGCCACCAGAAATCATGAGCGCTCCATCACTGGAGGTTTTTAAGAAGAAACTAGACAGACATTTATCTGAAATTCTACAGGTTCTCCTGCTTAAGCAGAAGGTTGGACTAGAAGACCTCCAAGGTCCCTTCCAACTCATTCCATGCCATTCCACTCTCTCTCAAGTTACAACTATAATGGAGCTTGCCCATTACACTCATAACTTGGAGTATGCAATCTCAAATGATCTAAGTGTTAGAGCCCACTGTAACTACATAGCCAAAAAGGCATTAAGAGTTGTTAACCTAATCCTGTGTAGCTTTTTCTCTGGTATTATCACACTACTAACTAGAGCATACAAAACATTTGCTAGACCAATACTTGAATACAGCCCATCAGTCTGGAACCCGCATTACGTATCTGATATTAATACAGTGGAGAAAGTCCAGAAATATTTCACAAGAAGAGTTCTCCACTCCTCTACTTGTTGCAGAATACCTTATGCCACCAGACTTGAAATTCTAGACCTAGAACTATGCCACCTTCAGTCCGATCTAAGTATAGTATATAAAATTATATATTGCAATGTCCTACCTGTCAATGAATACTTCAGCTTCAACCATAACAATACAAGAGCACATAATAGATACAAACTCAAGGTAAACCACACCAAACTTGATTGCAGGAAATACGACTTTAGCAACAGAGAGGTCAATGTCTGGAATACTCTACCTGACTCTGTAGTTTCTTCCCCAAACCCCAAAAACTTTAACCTTAGACTGTCTACTATTGACCTCACCCCTTTCCTAAGAGGTCCGTAGGGGGCATGCATAAGCGCATTTTTCTTATATGTATCCATTTCATGTATTCATAATTATATTTATACTTATACTTGTTATCTTATAATCGCTTGACAAATAAAATAAATAACCCATGCAAGTTGCAAAACTGGTCAGGCTGACTGGGGAATTCTGGGAGTTGAAGTCCAGACACCTCCCACAGTGGCCAAGGTTGAGGTACTCTGTCCCAGAGGCACAATATTCAAATTCCATAGCACATCACCTGATTACGGCCAAACAGACGACGTAACCTACGGGATGGAGTGAACGGATAAGGCGGTCTTATGGAAGGCGACATCACTCGAGGTTGCTGCAAGAGAGGAAGAGGACCGGAGCAGTGACAATCATCAAAATTGAGAAGTTCAAACGTATATACACAACTCAACTTATATATAAAATACATATTAAAACCAGAATCCTGAACTCTTAGGAGATCTTGGCACCAACTCAAGCCGACGGTTTTTATCATTCAACAATGTGCAACGAGGTAGGTTCCTGCTAGAGCACGGAGCTTCTGCAGAATCAATCAATCATTTCCCTTACTTGACACATGAAACGCTGGGAAGCGGGAGTCCTGCCATAGAAAACCGAGCAGTGCACATCAGGGGAATCGAGGTAGTTGGTCCACAACGGTGAAGTCAGGAAGTCTAGATTGGAAGCGGACCGAGACATCCTTTCTAGAGCCTGAAGGATAAGAAACGACAGTCAACCCCCGAATTGCAATTCGTTGGGGTTACGGAGATGGGCTCGTTGACAGGAGGCGGCCAAAAAAATAAAAATCAACACCGAAGCACTGTCACAATGCAGATAAAAATCAGGCAAAGCTTCAAGTTGCACCGTTGGGCATCTTGACTTCTTTTGGCACATCCTCTGGACACCTCCCTTGCAGACCACAACTTTGGGGCAGTTCACTCACTATGATTAAAACTCCATATGACTGAATTTAAGGGTAAGTATTTGGCTTCTGCTCTGAAGCGGATTTTCAGACCTCAACCATCCTTGTTTAATCCCCATTTCAGTTGGAAGTGAAATGACCTCTCAAGAGGAGGAAAGAGGAAGAAGCTGAAGATAATTTGGGACCATGCCTTTTAGGCCCAAATTATCAATCGTCCTGATTTTAAAGCAATACGAGCAAAAGGTGTTAGGAGGAAAATATAATTTGGAGTGTCCTCCAGTGGCAGAAGGGTAGAGAACCACAGAAGGTAAAAAATAGGCTACCAAAATGCCATTTTTGAAAATTAATCCAGAATTCTGTTTAATTAAGGCAAATGGGTCCGATATCATCTCTTGCTTTTTCCTCTCTGAACTCCTTCCTTCCTTCTCTCCTTCCTTCCCCCTTTCCTCCTTTCTTCCCGCTTCTTTCCTTCTCTTCCTTCCTTCCTTCCATCCATCCATCTTTGATCATATCCACACTAAGATGTTCTCATTCGGAAAATAAAAGCCCCCTCCTCTAAAATACGAGAAGCTTCAAACACTTCCAAGGCTTCTTCGAGACCCAGCAGACCGGGGTTCACGCATGACTTTCCGTCCTTGTGTGTTTTTTGTTTTTGGCTTGCCGTGCTGGATGGATCCAGCTGCCGCTGTTTGAACACCCTGCCTTATGGCTGGCTCAGTGCTGGATCCACGCAGCCCATCCTGGTTTAGGGCAATTAGTGGTAGCCAAGCTTGGGTAGATGATAAAGCCAATCAGAGAGAAAGAGAGTTACCTGCATCACAGATAACGACGGGGCCCTTCTCAGAATTGGATTCCACATACAACTCTTTGAATGGGGCTAAACAGGAGAGGGAAAAATAGATGCAAAGATGAGAAAAGAGGCAAAATGACTGCAAGCAATTGGTACAGTTAAAGCATTCAAGGCTGCTTCTATTGCTCACTAGCTCGATACCCATGCTTTGCTACGAAACTATGTGATCGGGCTTAGTTTTTGGGGATGAAAATAAGTGTGTGTGTGTGTGTGGGATTCTGCCTCTGCCTACCAGCATCCATCGGTATTCATCTGGTTAGCATGTGAGATAGTTGAGGGCTGTTTGGAAACTGAGACAGTATTTGCTGTGTGAGCAAGGAGCCAGCAAGGGGCCTGGGCGTGGCTTAGCTCAACTGTTCTGTACTAAAGCTGGTTGCTGCTGTGAAACTGAAACTCCTCTCCTCTGCTTGTGTTTTGCATTTGGCACAGATTTCTTTTCAGGTGGGGAGGGGGAGTAGAACTCCTTAGCATCAGAGCGTGTTAATAATAATAATGTAGGAAATACTCTAAATGTTCTGATAGTCATTTCGAAAAATCCTTTCTTAGCGAGCACCTAGAAGCCAAGAGGAACATAGGTGCCAAATTTCCAAGTTTGTAGGCTTTACGGTTCTGGAGATTTTGTGATGATGGGTAACTTTTGTGCCAGGCCCTCTTTCACTCTTTCAGCCCAACCCACCTCACAAGGGGGTTGTTGTGGGGAAAACAGGAAGAGGAAGCTGTGTTGTGATATATTTGCTGCCTTGGTTCACAGCTGAATGTTTGTCTGATGGATCCGTTTAACAGCAGCCCCTTCCTGTAAAATCCTGCCTAACCCCAGCCCCCCTTTTTGTATTTCTTCCATTAGTACACATTTATCAGAAGGGGAGGGGGAGTAGAAGCTAAACCGTCTTACCAAGTAATCGGGAGAAAAATCTGAAAGATCGTTGGCCAGTTTGCTATCAAGAATAGCAGAATCTTCATTCTGCGAAGAGAAAAGAGGGGATTCAAAGAAAGAAAAATCACAAAAATGCCACTAAAGAGGATACAGGATGTCCTAAATCCAAAACGAGCACTCGCACAACTAATTTTATTTTTTTCAGGGGCATTATCGGCATTACAAAATATCAGTTACGGATTTTATTTTTGGCTATGCATTTAAAATTAAAGCGTGGAATTTTTTCCCTATATATGTAATCCCCCTTTGGTCAATTACAAAATTATAATTTGAAGTCAGATATGGTAGTGGATATTTTTATTTAACATATACCTCACCATTATTTTATTTTTATAAATAACTCAAGGTGACAAACATACATAACGATCCTTCCTATTTTCTCCATAACGATTACCCTATAGGCAGAGGTGGTATTCAGCCGGTTCTGACCAGTTCTGGAGAACCGGTAGCAGAAATTTTGAGTAATTTGGAGAACCGGTAAATCCCACCTCTGACTGGCCCCGGCCCCATCTATTCTCTGCCTCCCATCGAGTCCCAGCTGATCGGCTGGGTCTTCTTTGGTTGCTCTGCGCAGGAGAATGGAGCTGGAAAGCAGGTTAGTGGGGTGAGGAGGGAATGAGGATTTTGCAGTAACTTTCCCACCAAGCCACTCCCACAAAACCAGTATGTAAATTTTTTTGAATCCCACCCACTGCCTATAGGGTAAGTTGGACTGAGCCATTGTGACCAGCCCCAAAGTCGCCCAGCTGACTTTCATGCCTAAGGTTGGACTAGAATTCACAGACTCCTGGTTTCTAGCCTGGTGACTTGAAATTCTAGACCTAGACAACCTAGAACTATGACGCCTTCGGTCCCATCTAAGTACAGTACATAAAATTATACATTTGCAATGTCCTACCTGTCAATGAATACTTCAGCTTCAACTATAACAACACAAGAGCACACAATAGATACAAACTCAAGGTTAACCGCACCAAACTTGATTGCAGGAAATACGACTTCAGCGACAGAGTGGTCAATGTCTGGAATATGCTACCTGACTGTGTAGTTTCTTCCCCAAACCCCAAAAACTTTAACCTTAGACTGTCTACTATGGACCTCATCCCTTTCCTAAGAGGTCTGTAGGGGGCGTGCATAAGCGCACCAACGTGCCTACCGTCCCTGTCCTATTGTTTTTCTTTTTTCTTTATATGTATCCATTTGATGTATTCATAACTATGTTTATGCTTATACCTGTTATCTCATAATCGCTTAACAAAATAATAAATAAATAAATAAGTAGACCAAGGTGGACCAAGAGAAGACTATTGAGTTTACTCAGTGATTTACAGCCTTTCCATCTTCTCTCAGCTTAATCTACTTCACATGGAGATCTCTGGTCATACTACTGCCAAGTCCTGAGAGAAGATGGCTTCTAGATGAAAGAAGGAGCAAAACTTGAGGTCCCCTTCCATAGCTTAGAGAAGACCTTTAGAGGCTACACTTTTAGGGAAGCAACTCAAATCTAGTGCACTTTCAACGGATTGGGGGAGATGTCCCTTCTTTCATAGCCAGCTGGTCTACCACCCATTCTTTGCAGCTCATCTCCATTTTGAGAGCACCTATCAAAGGACATCATTCCCCAGGGTTCTCCTCACCTCCAGCAGAAGCTGACTGCATACAGCGCTCATAACAGCTGGATCTTCCAAGTCATGCAGTTTTCCTGCATTCTGACTTGTAGGCACCTCTCCATAGTCGGTCATGTCTTCTTCTTCTTCTTCTTCTTCTTCTTCTTCTACCTCCATGGTGCTATAAGCAAACCGGGGCTGAAACTCTTGGGGAAAACGTTCCTCTTCTTTTCCATCTTCTACCATCAGTTCCATGTCTGAAGATCCGGTCTCCTTTTCTTCTCCAGCATTGGCCACCTCCTCTTCCCTGGGGTCAATCACAGCCACTTTCGGAGATTCCATGGTCAAGGCCTTTGCCGCGTGGTCTTCAGGGTAGGTTTGCAAACCAAGAGAACAAACATCTAGGTCAATATGGAAACACCCTCAGGCTAAAAGGGGAGGTCTGTAACTGCAATAGAATTCTTACATTATCGCAATCTCACTCTAAGCAAGATTTCACACGATTAAAGGTCCTGGGTTCAAGCCATCTTATTTTCTGTACTCCTTGCAACCGTACTAATTTCAGGATTTGGCGGATGTTACTAGATCCCTTTAGTTGTTGAAGGGGCTAAAGAGGTGGAAGACTATCATATAGTTCATGGTCTTCACAGAGGTCCCTCTTGTAAAGAATCCTGTCAGGATTCCGGCAGCTGCCCTAATTAAATCATGAGTCTTGAGCCAAGCTTCGAAAGCTTCAAAGGATTTATTAGGAGCGAACATGTCGGCATGACCTGTATGAAGCCTATTCTGAGACACGTAATTCATGTCACCATTGACCCTGGTTTCCCCCCACCCCTCTGAGTATATTATAATTCAGATTGTCCAATGGAACACATTCATGGGCTAGACGTCATCAATCACACTCTCCAATAGAGGATTTTCGGGCCCAGAATACCCGGTTGCCTCAGTTACAATTTCTGTAAGATCATCTTGGAATGTTCATTTGCCGTCTGTTCCTTGAAGGGGTTCCCCCTCCGCTTATTTCATATAGCAACTTGGAAATCAGCATAGGAGTGTTTTACAAGTTGACAAATACTTTAAAACAGGGATCTCCAACCTTGGCAACTTTGAAGACTTGTGGACTTCAACTCCCAGAATTCCTCAGCCAGGTTCTGGGAATTGAAGTCCACAAGTCTTAACGTTGCCAAGGTTGGAGACCGCTGCTTTAAAAGAATAAAACGTAAATAATACAATTTAATCACAATACTTTAGTGATTAATTTGATATAAAATTAGCATTCATATATTAGGTTTGGTTTGTTCTGAGCCTTTGCAGGCTGCAAATCTAGGGAAGTGACTTGGCTTAACACATTACACAATCTTAAGAAGGTTGCTTATCTTAGTAACTAGGATAAATGTGCTCTGTGAACTTAACCACTATTTAACTTGGAAGGGGTCATTTTCAGCTTTTCAGATATACTTGTAAATTGGCCACATGTCCAATTGAATAGAGCAAACACTTCTATGAAACTCAATTATCAGTCATATTTTCATTATACAGTATTTACAAAAGGTATATTAATATTAATATACAGCTGTTTAACATCTTTGATGGACCACCCTTCCTAAAAAATAAATCTGGTGCAGAATTTCATTCTAATTGGAAAGCATTCTTGCATAACACTATATATAGTTTTGTATCGCATCCAAGATTTGGGTTTTCCCTTCCCAAAACTATATTTCAACTTGACCTATAACGTTCAGTATTAATAGAAAATGCTAGCAATAAGCAATATGTTGTTTATTGTTCAAATATGTTCACTGACAAGTTCCATAGGGATAATTATCCACATTTTTTTAACAATGGGTTTTTATATTTTTAATCTCTTATTTATACTTTATATTCTTGTAAAGGAAAAAAAAAGAAGAAAGAAAATTCAATTACGACAGCTTTGGTTCACTTTTGTCCTGCTATACTATTTCATTACAAACTCTCTACGCCAACCACAGAAACCAGGATTTGCTGTTCCAGTATGTTTTACCTGAGGTGAGTGTTAAGTTTATATATAGATCAATTTCATCCTCTTCCGTTGCTGTGTCAGTGACAGGTTCTTCCTCTGTGTCCTCCCCCATCATGAAATAATCCTCTAGTATCTGATTTAAACAAACAAACAAGAAAACGGAATCTCATAGATTTAAATTCCTCCTTGGAAAAGAATAGAGAATTTGACCAAAACAGGATATCAAACTGGGTCAGTTCAACAAAGTTTAAACTCAATAGTTTGGCTTCCATGTCTGTCTACTTCAGCCAGAAATAGTGTTTTGTACTGAGCCAGCATCACTGCTGAGTTACTATTATCTATACTAGCAGTAGTATTTCAATTCCTCTCCAACTGTAAGACAGCCAATAATTTTGTTTCCCTTTTAAGAGTCCAGCCCTAGTGCTGAGAAAGGACAAACTAAGTCTTGCACGGTCTCTAGCAGCCACGAGGAGGTGTAATCCACATTTAGGAGGGAAGGAGGAGGAAACAACTCCGTGCGTAAAGAGCTCGCCCCGCGCGGAGCATCTTTGGAATTACGCGCTCTGGGAGTAAAGTCTTACTACTCCCGACCGCACGGACGCAGCTACTCCGGGGAAATGAACTTACTCGACGGTTGCGTTTACTACTCGTGTAAAACGCGGAAGCAAAGCACGCCAAGGAGGACGTAGCTTCCCCGAAAGGGAAGGCAAAGGATGCAGCAGGATTGCAACTGGCACCCCGGTTTGGGAATGGGCACTTCTGCAACCGGCTCCAGCATCCACCCGCTCACCCGCCGAGCCTCCGCAAGCTCCGGTTGCTTACCATGTCCGGGGTCCCCGGGAATTCTCCTCCTTCGGCCATGGAGCCCTCGTAACACCTTCACCCAGCAGCGGTCACTCCCTGTGGCCACGCCGGCTCTTTTAAAGGGCCTTTTCGAGGGCGGGGCAGCCGGTCCGGGTCTCATTAAAAAAAACAAAAAACACCCTTCCTCTTAAGGGGCTCAGCCACGGGGGTCGGGTCCCCGAGTGGCTCCCATGCGTGGGGCCAGCTGGTTTGCGATACTTCAACCAGATCCCTCGAAGCCACAGTTGAGTTCAATAAAGGAGATGTTTTCTTTTCTTTTTCACACTACTGTGATTTTTTTTTTTTTCATATCACACTACTAACTAGAGCATACAAAACATTTGCTACACCAATACTTGAATACAGCTCTGGAACCCACATTACGTATCTGATATTAGCACAGTGGAGAAAGTCCAGAAATATTTCACAAGAAGAGTTCTCCACCCCTCTACTCCTTGCAGAATACCTTATGCCACCAGACTTGAAATTCTAGACCTAGAAAACCTAGAACTACGCCGCCTTCGGTCCCATCTAAGTATAGTACATAAAATTATATATTGCAATGTCCTACCTGTCAATGAATACTTCAGCTTCAACCATAACAATACAAGAACACACAATAGATACAAACTCAAAGTAAACTGCACCAAACTTGATTGCAGGAAATACGACTTCAACAACAGAGTGGTCAATGCCTGGAATACTCTACCTGACTCTGTGATTTCTTCCCCAAACCCCAAAAACTTTAACCTTGGACTGTCTGCTATTGACCTCACCCCCTTCCTAAGAGGTCTGTAGGTGGCGTGCATAAGCGCACCAACGTCCCTGTCCTATTTTTTTTCCTTATATGTATCCATTTCATGTATTCATAACTATGTTTATACTTATATTTGTTATCTTATAATCGCTTGACAAAATAAAATAATACAAAAAAGAATATTTGTAGCCTCAGAGTTGAATTGTGGGGTCTTTGATGCTCTCTGAGCTTGGTTGTTTTCTTGCAGACCTTTCATGACCCCACTAGGTAACATCATCAATGTTAGAAGGGAGTGGGATTTGCAGAGTGGAGGAGGACTGCTGTGGGGTCTTTGGTGGTCTCTGAGCTTGGTTGTTTTCTTGCAGACCTTTCATGACCCCACTACATACCATCATCAGTGCTAGAAGGGCTAGTAATAAACCCCACTCCGTTCTAGCACTGATGATGTTACCTAGTTGGGGCATGAAACGTATCTGCAAGAAAACCACCAAGTTCAGAGAGTCCCAAGGACCCGATTGTGTTCAATTGAATTGAACCCAGGTGTAACCCACTGTGGGCAAATGGGTTGTGCGAAGGCGAAGGTGGTTTTTACGGCATCTGAGCAAGTCTGTGCTCCAGTCTGGTTTGCTGGACATCAGTTGTCTTCTCAACCTTGCCATGCTGGCTGGGGATGATGGGAACTGAACTTTCTTTGGGAAGTCCGGATGGGAAAAACTACCATCTTTTCTTTATGTACACTGAGAGCATATTCACCAAGACAAATTCCGTGGGTGTCCAATCACATCTGGCCACTGAATTCTATTCTGTTCTATTCTATTCTGTTCTATCTTTTTTTCTCAGTGACAGGGAGTGTTTTCTTGAGTTAGGGGCTTTGTTCATTGCCTCGTCCTCAGCCCTTGCTGTATTCAAACAAACCTGCAACCAGGTAAGATAAAAACATAGCTAAATCCATTCCCACAACTCAGGCCTTCCTGGTTTTAACTTCAGGTTGGTTTTTTTTTTCTCCCATGGATTGCTATCCGATGCAGATCCATTTCTCTTGGCTTGCTTGACATTCCGTGTGTATTGCATGAACCTAGAAAATGGATTAACTCAGGAACCAGGTTGGAATTCATCCATCACAGGCCAAACATCTGCATTCATTGGGAGGGTCGATAGTAAGAGCCATGGGAAGGTTGTATTTTAAGGACTGATCTGGGGATTACGGCCTGTTCTCACACACTTTTTTGTGTCTACCTTCAAAGGCTGTTGTTTTGTTTTGTTCACTTTATTGTCATTGCACCTCATACAACGAAATCAAACACCATCTTCAGCGCACATCATGACCACGAAACACACATCCTTCACACTCCACACATTGAATTGAAACCCCCCCAACACTGCACCAACACCTTAATATTGCACCATACAGTAGAATTCAACAGAGCTCCTGCCCTGGGATAGAAGCTGTTTTCAGCCTATTTGTCCTTGTTTTTATTATCCTGCACCGTCTGCCAGATGGTAATAGTTCAAAAAAAGGGTTCCCAGGATGAGATGGGTCTTTGAGAATGTTCTGAACTTTCTTAAGGCAGCGGGAGCTATAAAGCTCTTCCAAAGAGGAGAGAGGGCAACCAATGATCTTCTGGGCAATGACATTAACCCTCTGAAGCGCTGTCCTATTTGCCACTGTGCAATTGGCAAACCATACAGAGGTGCAGTAGGTTAAAATGCTCTCTATGGTGCAGCGGTAGAAGGTCACCAGCAGTTTCTCATTCAGTTGTTGTTTTCTGAGAAGTCTCAGGTAGTCTAATTTCTGCTGGGCCCTTTTGACCAGGGCTGCAATGTGAGCACCCCAGGTCAGGTCCTCTTTTAGGGTAACACCCAGAAACTATCTGGCAGCTTTTTTCCCTACCCATGAAAGAAGCTAAGAAATCCAGCAGGGGAATATTTTTTCCTAGTCTTGCAGAAAATCTGGCTTCCAAAACCAGGACACAAGACCACGAAAGGTTGGAGAATATAGGTTTATTTGTGCACAAGGTTCAGAGTACGTTTGCCTTGCTCTATATCATAACCCAAGTATCGGACCCTTTCCTGGACTAGCTGTGCCTTTCTCCTAGATGCCTTATCCATTAGGCCAGGGGTCCCCAACCACCGGTCCACGGACCGGTACCGGTCCGCGGAACAACTCCTACCGGGCTGCTGGCTTGCTGGGCGCCGCCATCTTTTTTTCATGAAAAAGTGCTTCCGGTGAGCTTTTCCGGGTAGAAAGCTCACCGGAAGCACGTTTTCATCAAAAAAAGATGGCGGCGCCCAGCTGATGCCGGTACCGGGCCGCGGCGCCCAGCTGATGCCGGTACCGGGCCGCGGCGTCAAAAAGGTTGGGGATCACTGCATTAGGCGATGCGGTCTTCAGCTGCTTCACTACCACTGTGCCAACCGCCTGGATAAAGGAGTCCAAAGTCCATTCCAAACCAGTTGACACAATCTCTCAGAGACGTTGTGTATTGTTAAACGTCCCTCCCCTACAAACAAGAAACACTGGTGTTAGAGAGAAGGGTTTTAGCCCATTTCCTTACTTGCTAACTTTCAACGGGAGAGGGGCAGGGGTGGGATTCTACCTGGTCGGACCGGTTCTATAGAACTAGTTGTTACGATTCTGCGCAGTTCCGAGAACTGGCAAATTGCACCACTGGCTGGCCCCTTCCCTCCCCACCCACTCCTTACCTGGCATGCACGCCATCCAACTTGGCTGCCTTTGGTAAGTTGCTATTTTTCCTCCCCCCCCCCAACCATCAGCTGTTCTGCTGTGCCGGGAGATTTAGATTAGCTAGAAAGCAGGAAATTGTTGGATTTCTTGCTTTCTAGCTAATCTAAAAGCAGAACTGAACCTTCCTTAGGATTGAAGCTTCTATTTTTCAGTGCAGACTCAGGTAGCAGATTGCAGAAAGATAGATCTCTGAGTGAATCTGTGATTCTGTGAGCAACTCAATCTGCCTGCCTGCTTTGCCTGATTTTGGGTAAAAGTTGCTTTTTTTTTTAAATAAAAAAATTCAATAGTTACATAAATATTTATAATATTTACATACAAGCCACGCCCAGCTGGTCACATGACCACCAAGCCACACCCAGTCAGCAAGTCATGCCCACCCAGTCACATGATCACAAAGCTACACCCACAAATTAGGCCACACCCACAGAACCAGTTGTTAAGAAATTTGAATCCCACCCCTGGAGAGGGGTTGTTCCATTGGGGGAGGGGCCTTCTTCAGGTCGTCCTCAACTTACAAACATTCATTTAACAACCATTCAAAGTTACAATGGTATTGAAAAAAAATTGACTTGGGGCCGGCGCTCACATTGATGAGCGTCAAAATGCGGGTTCTTGGCAACTGGCATGTATTTACAATGATTGCAATATCCCAGGGTCATGTGATCATCATTTGGGACTTTCCTAGCTGGCTTCCTTCCAACAAATGAAGTCAACGCGAGAAGCCAGGTTCGCTTAATCACTACAAAATTCCCCTTCTACAGAGGAATAATTGAGCCTGTCATCTGTACCTCTATAACTGTCTGGTTTGGTTCTGCAACCCAACAGGACAGACACAGACTCCAGAGAGTAACTTTAGGACTGCAGAAAAAACAATGGCTGCCATTAAGGATCTGTATGCTGCACGAGTCAAAAAGAGGGCTGTGAAAATATTTATAGACCCTTCACATCCTGGACATAAATTGTTTCAACTCCTTCCCTCAAAACGAAGCTATAAAGCACTGCACACCAGAACAACTAGACACAAGAACAGTTTTTCCCCAAACACCATCACTCTACTAAATAATTCCCTCAACACTGTTCAACTATTTACTAAGTCTGCACTACTATCACTATTAATCTTCTCATCACTCATCACCCATCCCCTCCCTCTTGTGATTGTATGACTGTAACTTTGTCGCTTGTATACTTACGATTTATACTGACTGTTGATTTGATTGCTTATTGTACCCTATGATTATCATTAAGTGTGGTACCTTATGATTCTTGATGAATGTACCTTTTCTTTTATGTACACCGAGAGCATTTGCACCAAGACAAATTCCTTGTGTGTCCAATCACACTTGGCCAATAAAGAATTCTATTCTTATTCTATTCTAACCGCAGCGATACATTTAACGAGCATGGCATAAGAAGTTGTAAAGTTAGACACAACTCATTTCAACAACCATCTTGCTTAGTATAGTAAAAAGTCCTCTTCCCGTTGTGGTTTTAAGTCAAGAGCC